GTGCTGTTTGTGATGGTTTGTATTATATCTAAAACAGACTTTGTTTGAGTTCACGTTTACAATCTGCAGTAGGACTTGGGCGGGGTTGGGGATGGCGACAGCTTGGTTCCAGAGGGATTGGTGATTATTAAAACCCTGTATTGTGAGTTAGTTTTCCTTTTAACTTAGGGTCTGGGAGAGTAGACGGCAGCATTTCCAGGGAGCTGGGGCCTGGGCTGGGAACGTGGTGGAGAACAGGCCTGGAGCACGGGGGGACTCAGAGTCCTCCCCAGAGAGGCCCTCACGTCAGTGTTCCGACCCCACACATCAGGCCCTGCCTTCAGGAGGGGCCCACACACTTCTCAGTGCCTGCTCTGGCCTCAGGTGTGCCGACATTTAGATTTTCTGATTGTCTTTACTTCCTGTAACCTGCCCTCTGCTCGCCTCCTCCCAGACTTGCCTTCCTGTGCCCTCTGCTGAGTCCCTGCTCCAGGCCATGGGATGGGAGAGGAGCCTTAGACACTGGCAGTCTCTTCTTAATTCTGTATTTATTTTATCTTTAATTCTGGCTTTTCCACAACATAGATTTTTGTTCACTTGCTCTTGCTTCTGCCTCATCTCCAACAGTATTTTGAAGATTTTTTTCTCGGTTTTGTCCTTGAATGTGTCTCTAGTACATCCGTCCTGTCTGTGAGATCTGAGTTGCTGGCATGTGGTGGGTGTGAAGCCAAGGTCAGCAGGACTCCTGAGTTCCCAAGTAACAGCTGTGCCAGTCATCAGCTTCACTTGTATGTCCGTGTGGCCGTGTGCTGCCTGCTCTAGTTAAAAAGGGTGGGCAGATTCATTGTTAAGTGAAATACTCAGAGGAAAAAAAAAAGAGTACTCTTTTAGGTCCTGAATTCACAAGTTTTTTAAAGAGACAGGGTTATGTGGTATGTGGTTCAAAGGGTATGAGTTTTAGACCCAGGCAGATCTGGGTTCAGGTCCTGCTTCCTCCACTTTCTAGCTGGGTGTCTGTGGATTACTTACTTAGCCTCTCTGTGCTTCCATGTTGTCCATAAAATGAGGGGCTTATCTCGTAAAAATGTTAGAGTTACAGGAGGTAAGGTAAGCGAAGTAGCTGGCACATAGTAGGTGCTCAACAAATGTTAAGTGTTCTTCAAACACCAACTCTTCCATATTCCAGAAAAGCCTTTGAGGATTTGGTATCAAATTAATTCTCTCAGTGTAAAACTATGTTGACGCAAATGTTCAAGAACTTTTTCCTCTTCAAAACTAA